TTAAAATTGAAGTATGATTTATGCTTAACTCCTTATAATATAGTTTTACCACTAGAATGATGAGTACATGAGTACTAAAACGAGTTAAAATAAAAATCTCACATTGATCTTGACTAGAACTTGTTTCATAATAATAACAAATAATTTCAAAATATGCACCAAGCTATCAATTTTATTGGTTAAGGTGCGCCCCATTTAGGTAAAGCTCTTGTCGATGATTCATGTCTACTAGGGAAGTTCATGCACGATGATAGGTGGAGAGAGGTGTCCACTTTTTTTATTTTTGGGCTTTTCCATGATTGATTGATTGTAATTGCTCCTTTTCCATGCATGTGATTGTATTGAGAAATTAAGGCTAATCCAACCAAAGTTTGATGTGAATTATTGGATTAGGCCAAAAATCAGAAATCGACACCACATTCCTCTGTGGTCTACCCCTGTCCCCTTGTGATTTTGAATTGTCTCAAATCAAGACAAAAGTTTGCCCCAGATTTTGGAGACACTCTTAGATCATCATGTCCTAATTAATTCCTCAATGATAATGTTTTAAGTATGGGTCTATCCAGAAAAGAAAAAAGGAAATTATGAACAGTGTGTTGTTATGCAAACGTGTGCTTTGTCCTCAATTATCAGAAATGAAACAGTGAAGAGCATGAGGAGGGGCTCCTATGGTCGAGTTACAATGATTTTTAGCCCAAGGATTAGAATAATACTTAAGGTTATCCAACACATATCATGCGAAATGTGTCATACTCTCTTTTCTAACACATATTTGACAATATAAAAATTTAAATCTTTTAACTTGATCCAAAATTAAAATTTTTAAACTAACAAATTAAGTAACTTAGTGATTATCTTTTTCCGCTAGAAATAAAATATCTTAAATTTAAGTAACATAGTATGTGAGTAAAGTGAGATAAAGGATGGGAGATGGTAACTTACCATTGTGCAATCAAAATAAAAAAATAAAAAATAAAAAATTTAAATTAATAAATATTACTTTGACCAAATTCAATATTAATAGAATCCTTACTAATGATCTATTAATTCAAGTAAAATGAATTCAGTTTTCTTTAAATAAAGTTTTAAATTAAATTTTAGTAAAAAAAAATAAGCGTAAAAAAAGATTTTTCTCTTTTAGAATCTAACGTAATTTGATTTCAAATTAAATAGTTCTAATACAACTCATGAATATCAAGAGTTAGTACTAAAAATATATATATTAATAAAATCCCTTTCTAGATGTTGTTTTGGGACAGTTCACATATTTAGGACATAATACAAATTGTATCTATCCTAAGGTTGCATGAGACAACATATCCTACTTGTAGTTTCAACTAGTATCTCTCTTTTCGGAGTTTGCTAAACCTGGTGTTTCTCCTGTGGATAGGAGAACAACTCATCATTGTGTCATGGAGACTTGATTGTTTGTAAAGATTTTTTCTTGTTCTTTTTGGTAAATTGCAAAAGACTTGTTATTTCTTTGTATGTACAAGCCTACTCGGCTACATTGTACCTATTTGCATTAACAAATTTACCTTTTATCCAAAAAGATAACCAACATTTTTTCTTACAAATAATTTCTTTAAGATGACAAAATGTTTGAGCAAATGCTTCCAGTTTGTCTTTGTTATGAAGCTATCAAGAAAAGAAAGAATGCTCCCATCTTGTGGGAGACTGTCTGCACTTTACAAAAGTTTGATGCAAATCATATGTTTAGTTCTTTCCAGTTTTTAACATAGCTGGTTTTGGTCGGCCAGAAGATTAAGAAAGAAACCCACCATCCATCCAAGCCAAACTATAACCAAACATGATGCATTTTATCCATCCAAATGATCATGGTCTTGACAGAGAAATCTCACACAAATGCACAGAAGCACATGGAAATATCTATATATGTGCTGAATTTACTTTCACAAAACTTCGATACCATATCTGACAACATTATGAGATTTATAGCAATACCAGAAGAAATACCGTCATTATGTATCACTACATATATTGGGTTGATATTAGTGATGTAAAAGAACACTATTATATCATTCCTTCTCTCTCTCTCTCTTTTTTTTTTTTTTTACTACGGTAGCTGCAATGAGGTTTTGGGGCCTTGGGGGAGCATGAGTTTATGACTTGAGCTTCAAAAACTGCATCTGAGGATCACACCGATGGGAAGAACTTGTTAAGATTGAGAGGCAGGCGATAGAATTCCTCACTTCTTGTATCAGTTTTGTATGATCGGAACCTGTCCCACCAGTGCATACCGCGATCCTTCCTTGTGGTACTGTCTTTCTTGTCCAGACTGACGTCGAGAAACATTGCCAAAACACCAGCAACAAATGCTCCCGAGGAGAACGGCACATTAATCATGTCATTGAACTGCAAAACAAGACTTGGGAATTAAGAAAACTCTCGTATTGAAAGTTTGAAATCAAGTTGCAATAAGTTGGCTTAGGGTGGAAAAATATGAAAGAGATGGTGCTTACCCATCTTGCTCCAGTGTGGACTGGACCATAACCATTAACGGCTGTGTACTCATTGAAGTATTGTGGTATTGATAAGCCCATGAAAATGGAGAAACCCATTATAAACTTTGTTCTGAAGCTGTTTAAATTGCAAAACTGAAGCAAACTAAGACCTGCTGAACCTGAAAATGCAAATGGAGAACAGGACTGAATCACTTAGCTTGAATGGAATAGTGCAATAGTTATCTGTTTCTTCAGTGAATTGACTTACCCACATAAGCAAAGAAAAGGCAATACAAAGCTGCAATGATTGGAGCTGGAATTGAAGCAAAGACAGCACCAAATTTCCCTGATTAGAGATGGATGTTAGCTTGCATATGTGGAAAAGCAAAAGGGGAGGGAGCATTTTGTGACATAAATGATCACTAACCGAGAATGGAGAAGAAGATCATGAACCCTGCAGATATCTGGACAACCCTTCGACTCCCAACACGTGTCAGTGCCAACAAACCAGCATTCTCCCTGCAGCATACCAGTAGTTTTCCATGATTCTTCTTTAAGGGTAAAAAGCGGTTGTATTAATGTTAAAAAACCAAAGCTCATAATGAGTTGATAAATAAAAGTTACTCATTGAATGTGTGGAATCTCTGAAAGAGTCTTACACAGAGACAGATGATCCATTGCCAGTTCCAAATATTCCCGAGAAGAGAATACCGACTCCCTGAAGATTGAAACATAATAATACAATTAAGAGGGAAAAAAAAGAACACTACACAATTACAAACATAGCTCTCTTAAACATGAGAACTTGGCTAACTTAGCCAGCCCTGTCAATCAAGTAACAAAAAGGGAATAGAAAAGCCCCTGGCTAAGATTTGATTAATCTCAATTTGAGTAACATCTCACTTTCATCAAATTTGACTTTTGGGGAGTCTAAAGATCATTCAACTCTTACCTGCCAACCAACACCACGGCTGAGAACAGATGGTGGCAGTGGTGTTGCACTTGCATACCTTGCCACAGCAAGGAAGGCACCTGTTGACTGTTCATAATAAGTACATCAGAGCACAGAACTCTTCAGGGTATTAACAAAGTATGGTTAACTGGACAAGGAAATGAATAGAACAGTTCCAAATCTAGTAGAAAAACTAAATTATCACATATCCAATTGTACTAGAACAGGACTAATAAGAGTATGCAAGATCCAAAACTATATGCTATCCCTACAGGAAGGTACAAATTACAATCCATTAGATTACTAGAGGTAGAGGTACCCATCCCATATGTCTTTTTCACAATTCTGCGCTATGCTTGTAGGCCTTGTCAGGTTCTGAACTCAGATAATCAGCAAAACCAAATCTATACACAGATGAATATTGAGAGTCTGAGCACAAGATTGATCAAACCTCTACTAGAGCGACAAAGGAAGCAGCCATCATTGCAAAAGACTCTCCAGCATCAAATGAAGGAGCTCCCCATTGAAATGGATAAGGAACTCTTATCCTGTTCACACACAGTTGTACAGAATGTTGAAAATTAACCATTCAAAATGTGTTTTGTGAATCTTGTTTGCATGGAAAAATAGAAAACTTCAAAGTAGGATGATATTTTCTTGAGAGGAAGAATGAAAAGAGCCTTACCAGGGAGCAGCACCTATAATACCAGCACGATCAGTTCTACAGCTTATTTGAGTTGTAGGTCCTGTATTCTTATATGCCCCACTAACGGTAAGCAGGTGAGCATAAATCCAGACAATCACCACCGAGAATATAACAGCAAACCGATCATATACCCGCCCTTCTCCTTTCACAAGATGTGGTATATACTGCAAAAAGTTACTTGTTTCTTCTATCATATTCCATAAAGTTTTCATTTAAATTGTGACCAACACTGCAACAAGAAAGAGAGTATATATACCAATAGGAAGTAAGAATTACCTGGGAGAAAACGAGAATAAGGATGATCTGTGGCAGCCCAATCTCTATGCATTTTGTGAGCTATATACACAAATTTAGTTGGTAAATATACTAGAAAACATAAGAAATAACTGGTGAGAACAAGAAGCAATTTTTTCACATGATTTCTTGATCCCACAAGATATAGTACATACCACAGGAAAACCAAGCTTGTAGAGCCCAAAGCCAGATAGAGCAACCAAAGGAACAGCAGCCAGTGGACTTAAGAACCTGAAGAAGAATTACAAAGGTACAACAATGATCAATACTCTACATATATATTTTGAGAGGGGTATGCATTATGAAAAAAACTTTTGACTTTTTTCCAATCAAACAATTATTTTGACAGGTTATGCAGTCATATCTGTTAGTAATTGGACACATCAAACGGTTCAATGTGACATAAAAACTGTCTTAGAGCCTGAGAGCTCAAAACTAGTTTTGAAAAGTAAACAAGCAGAAGACAAACAATAAAAATGATTTTCAGGCTGTATGGCCAGGTTTTGACTAACCTTGCAACATTGCGCCAAAGACCACTAAAGCCTAGAATAATTTGAAGTGTTGAGGCAACAATTAGTGCGCCCTGGGTCCCTCGCATTATCTTCTCAAATTTCTGTACTCATAGAGAATCAAGGGAGTTTGGGATCAAAGTACAGACAAACGAAGAGAAATTAAGTAAACCTGGCAGACATTGTGAAGCTACCTCCACAGGGTCTGCAATTTCACTGTATCGACCCGCCAAGATGATTGAAATGGTTGTTGGCACATAGGTATATGAACCTCCAATTACTGCAGGTAGTCGGGTGCCAAACATTGTTTGAAGGTATGTGTTCAAGCCAGCCACAAATTGTAATGTCTGAATCATCTTTGCTTTCTCTTTCTGATCCAAAATTGTGATTCCATATTAGAATAAACTGTATACAATAATTTGAGACAAGATCCACATAAATGAAACAAAAGCATGAAAATATTTGATTAACTACTACTGTCTCTAATAAAGCATACATTTCCTCCTCCCATCTGAGGAACTAGAATGCTGGGTATGAGAACAGTTGTGCCAAGCATCACCAAGTAATGTTGGAAACCCATTAATATAGCCTCAGCTGCAATGAGAAACAATTCCAAATAGTACAGTTATGCCATTTGACACAAATGCGGGTTGAATCACAAAAAGAATAGTAAACAAATGAGTCCTCATCAAGTTCATGACGAAGCAACGACAGTGTTAAAAAATGAAAGGATTTGTCAGCTCTTGGGTTAATCACAAATCACTGAAGTGTAAAGAACCAAGCATTATAACATCACAATCACCATAATGTGGGGAAAAAGTGTAAAAAGAGAAGAAGAAAACATTTGAAAGCTGATTCTACCAAGAAATAGTGAAATGAGCCATTAAAAACAGAACCAAAATATATTGAAAATGTATCGTCAATCTGGTGAATCAAGAAATCAAGGAGGAAACAATATGGAATGACAACAGAGAAAGAGAACATATCATTAAAATGAGTAAAACTAACGCCATGGCGGAGGGCTGGTTATGCAAAAAGAAATGTTGGGCAGCTGATCCCTGACTGGATGAGGCTGCAACTCCTCTTGCTTTGGTGGTGGTGCAGGTCCTCCACCTCCTCCTCCACCTCCTCCTCCTCCTCCTGCCATCTTCTGCTCAAAGAAACCTCCTTTAAACCTCTAGTTAATCTTCGTTTAGGAAACACGCCGGCCCTCTGCAAAGGAATCACAAATCCCAATCTCTCAACACCCAGAAACAGAACACTAAAACCCAGATGCCTAAATCCCCCACAAGCAACTACGGGGACTAGTTAAGCTAAGGTGAATTCCCGGGACGGGAAACGAGCGCAAGTGGGAGAAAACTGCAAAAGAACTAAAAATAACAATGGAAAGCAGCACAGAGGAGTTAAAAAGAAGAGCATTACAGTGAAAGAACCTCTATTCTTATCTCAAAAGAGCATCATTGCACTAAAGCAAAGCAACCAAAGAAATGCAAATATGCAAAGTGATGCGCCAATGTGGTATTTTGATACCCCAAAACCCCCACTTGGAGAGCAAGAAACGCAAAAGCAAGGGAGAGAAAGTGAGGTGTGAAGAGGAAAAAAGGCAAAAGAAAAGAAGGGAACCAAAATTCTTCTCTCAGTGACTAAAAGGAATATTTCTTGGCATGATTTCTTTTGATTTTCTAACGCTATTTTTAACCCAATAGTCTACTCTGAACTCTCTTTCTCTCCAATCACGTAAAGAAAAAGCTCGGAGACAAGCATCTGCACAGTCATGCACAGTCATCTTTACCAATGGCATTCTACTCACAGTACCACTGTGCCACACATTAAATTTGTTTAAAATAAAGTAAATGAGAATGTTGTTTTACAGTTAACGCATGACGGATTGTACTTCTGTTTTCTTTGAAGGAAATAACCCAGAAAAGCAATGTAATTTGGATGAAATGGAGCGGAATAAAGCGATCCAAATCAACAGGTTCCGTCCTTCTGCGCATTTTACAGCCATTTTTTTCATCTTATTGCACTGTTCTTGAAGGGTACTGTCTAGTCCTTTTAGCTTATTCACGCGAACACACGAAACCACCACCGTTGTGTCACCATGTCGTCTTGGTAAAGGGGTTGCAGGACACCTACTTCTTAGCTGTTATGTACTTCATGTCTACATATATTTTGTCACCATTTTCGTTCCTTTTTGGAAATTTCCGCTCCTCACCCCACCGACCAAAGTCGGTTCTGCAATTTTCGTCCCTTTCTGGAAATTTCCGTTTCTCACCCCTCAAGACCAAAGTTGGTTCTGCCACTTTCGCCCCTTGTGACAACATGTCTCGAAAATCCATGCATCACGTCCAAAGACAAACTGTTCATTTCATTTGGAACTTTGACCGTAGAAAGTAAGGAATATTGATCTCTAATTCCATTATTATTTAACATTATTGAAATAGGGTGGTGTTTCCTAGTCTGATTTGCACAAATTATGAAAACCTCACTCCCATAATTAGGGGCCTACCTTAGCCCCATGTGGGCTCATCGACCATGGAGATGTTATTTTGTAGTCCAACACAAGGTGGTAGGCACGGCCATACCGACATATAATAATTTTATCATTAATAAAATTATAAAATATTAATTTATTTAATTTTTTAACAAAAATAATTATTAGTCCCGCACTCGGTGGTCAAATGACCACCCCTTGCAAGGGACGTACGTAGGATTATCAGAATTTAGAATCAAATCCCAAGTCTCCCATTCCCTCTTTTCTCATGAAAAAAAAGGTTTCACACTGTTCCAAAAAAAAAAAAAAAATTATTAATTACAATTATTAGTTAATAAATAATAAACCAATCAAAATTTATTAATTAATAAATTAAAATCACTCATCGAACTTATATTTTCAAACATTGATTAAGAAAAAGAAATTAAAATTTTAGTTAGCTTAACAATATTAATAATGACAATAACCAAGATGATCGCAAAATATTGTTTTCTTAATAAAATTATAAACATAAAAGATTTTCTTGCTTTAATATTATATAAAATGATTCTTATTCCTTAATTTAAAATATAAAGATAATTAATGTGATATGAATCAGCGACATTAAAATAAAATAAAATGAGACAAATACTTTACACTATGTAACATTATATAAATAAATAATAAGAAAAAAAAAAAAAAAGATGCATACACATCTTTTGAGTCTTAACAATAAAGCTATTAATGTCCAATGTTCGTACTTGAATTTTGATTCCTTGCTTCCTACATGCATTGAAAAGGTCTGATTCTCCATCCCACAATGGCCCCATAACTTCTCCAAAGCCCCCAAATCGCAATCATCTGTCGTTAAACAAATCCGTCGGCTTTACAAAAGAAGATGAAGGTAAACAGAGTATGTCTTTCAAAATTGTATAGTTGTTTGTTTTGATGATCTAAAGACTGCAATTGAATGGTATATTCATTTCTTGCAAACTGAGAAGAATTGGTCCCTGTTTTCTTTCCTGCCAAGTCTATGGCTATAGATGGTAAGTTTCTCCCCAGTCATGGCCTCTCTCTCTACATCTTAAGACTGTTTGATAGCAACCAAGAACCAACTTTAGGAACAGAGTCGTGAACATGCTTTTTCCAAAGCTACTTTGATATGCTTTTGGCCAGTATCATAATTCTCCATACCGAATTTCAAATTCAAATTGCTTCTTTAAGACTTCTCTAGGGTTTTGGAACATGTCCGTGCACATGCATTTTAATACAAAACCAACAATTTTGTTCCTTCTATGAGATTAATATCATATTATCTAAGAGGACAAGTAGGCTAGGCATTATATACCAAATTGATATGACTCCCACAGACATAACATGTCATATTATCTAAGAGGCAAAAGTTTATTTTGCATATCAGTAGTTGCACCAGACATGCATTATCTGTAAAGCTGGAAACTACTGTTACAAACAACAATTAACTCAAACGACAATGCCCAGCCTTTTCCATTGCATCATACCACAAGAAAACGTGCCAAAGACAGCAACAAGAAGGTTAGTCATCACTGACTGGTACCACGAGTTTGCAGCCTCTTCCTCTCCAACTCAAGCTGAAAAAGAAGATAAAATAAAATAAAATCATGTGCCTCATCAAATTATTAGCAGAAGTCATATGCTGCATTGCCAAAGAATCTTACCACTTTTCTAACCCGCTCATTAGCTGCAGGAGTTCCTCCACTAACAGATTCTGGAAGATACGGACTGCTAACACGTACCTCATTCATAACAACTATGACAGTTTTGTCCCAGCGCACAGGAAGCCTGATTACATGCTATTGGTATCAGTTTTATGAATTTAGAATTGGTAAACCATAGCGTGATTATCCACAGAATAATAAAATTCTACAACTTTCACAGTTTGAACTTCAGGCATATGAGACTATTTCAACAAAGATTCATATCACAGAAGTCCATACCATTAGGCATTAGCATAATGCAGAATGCCAGAATGTGAATGGTAGGAAGTTCACTCTTTCAACATAGAACATGGAGAAATACATGTATCCTAGCTCAACCAAAATACAGCATATGCCAACAGTTAGGTGTTTATAAAATGGTGGCTTTTTCATATTGTTACTAAAGCTCAAACTATAAAAAAACAGGTCCCAGTTAAAGGATTACAACAGCCAGCTCCATCTGGTAGACACTTGATGCAGCAGCCAAAAATCTAATCTATCATTCTTTCTCATTTAATTTTGATATTAGCAATTTAGGATGCTATTTTTAAGTTACATGCACTTTCATGTCCGGAAGCACAATAGTAATTTCTGCAATGCATGCACTCTAAGGTTTTTAATTTGGTTAAGTTTACGTTATTTTAGGAGTTTCAGTTTTATTGGGTTTTATTTTCTTGAATCCTAATTGGCCGTTTAGCATAAATTTTCAAATTTGTTTACATCCTCCTAATCCTAGTGGCATGAGGAGGAATCATACTCAAATTTGTCCCGAATCAACCAACACTACAAAACCACTCAACTGATGCAGTTTCTCAGCAGATTACAAATAATTTTGCATAGCCAATCTTGTGCTTATGACTAAATATGCACCAACATTCATTCCCTGAAACTTCAAACCCCAGAACTAATTTTCTTCCCTCACCCCCCTCTGACCATAAGGCCATAGGTGTTGGCTAGTAAACATTGCTTCAATTTGCTTAACCAATTTACAATGTAGTCGTGCCATATACTTACCAAGATGACTAGTTTAATTCTTTGCCATTCACGTTCCAAACATTTTAAGAATAATAAAATGCATTTTTTACCATTCAATGCCATATAGGGAAATAAGATAAAGACTGTAAATCAACATTTGGAGTGCTACTGAAGCTATTAAGCATCATTATTATAAATAGAGAAAGGGGTAAATGGAATGGGCAGCATACGTCTTAGACAAAGCATCAAAAATGCTCTGGGCCTCACTAGTAACACCAACTCCAATTCTCTCAGCCTCTGCCTCTGCTTGCCTAAAATTTACCACCAAAAAGAACATAAATTCAATCCCATACAATCCAACAACAGGAAACAGAAACAAAAAAGAAAACCCAGATGGATTTTCAAAGAGAGTAATGATTTTTACCTAATGGCTATTTCTTCCTTCTCTCGGAGAGTAGTAATATCCAAACAACACTTCCTGGATTCAAGTGGATCTTCACCTTGACCCAGGAACGTGAAATCCTTTATATAATTAGCCTTCAACATTCTAATATTCTTCCTAGGTCCCGATTTCGAGCTCTCTTGTGGTCACCCACTAAGTTAAGAAACTCAAATTTATTAGGGCTTGCCCCAAAAACAGAAATTCGAAACAGAGATCGGCAGGAAATGGAGACAAAAAAACATAGAATCAGTAAGAAAAGGATATGAAGCGCGAGAATGTTGGAGGAGCTATCGAAGGTGAGGACCTGGCCTTCGAATTCGTCGCCAAAGGTGGTCTTGATAGAGAGGGAGCTGCCGACGGCGATTTCCTCACCTTCCATGGCGGATTTCGGCTTCCCGTGTTCCAGTGCTGTACTTGGTTCTTCCTTTCGACTGGTTTGATTGTTTTACGATTCGGTCATCCGGTCCGCTGCAATGAATTGGATCGTATAGTGGGCTCATATATGTTGGGTTTTAGTGGGCTTTAGGTGGGCGGGATTCGGGCTTTCAAAGTGGACAAGGCTGAATTCTAGTGGGATTGGGTAGTATTCGGGCTTTGGGCTCACATAGATGTTGTTATATATAGGACTATTTATTTATTTTTAAAAGCGAATTTAAGTTTTGAAATGATGAAGAGGAAACTAGACAAATTGTTGAATTTTAAATGTAAGTCTTAACTAATTATCTCTTTTTTTTTAAAAAAAAAATGTTCATTTTTATTTATTTTTTAATAAATTAATAATTTAGTAATAATTTATATGTATTCCTATATTACTCTTAATGTAAGAGATAAAAATAGAAAAAAAAAAGAATTTAAGGAATACTCCCTTTGTTCATTAGTTTGACTTTTTGATTTTTTTATATAAAATTTTAGATAAAAATTTAATAATTTAAATGAATAACAATTAAAAAAATTTTAATATAAAATTATTGTTGAGTATTCTTATTTAATCAAAAAAATTTAATTATTATTTACATAATACATTAAATTTTTATTTAAAATTTAAGTCTAAAAGAATAAAAAAAAATCAAATTAAATCTACTAAAACTAAATAAAAGAATATTAATTAGTTTGTTGACCCAACAATTGAGATGATTATGCTATATTTAGCAGTTTTTTTCTCATCCATTATATTATATATCATCTTATCATAATCTTACAAATTACTTAATCATTTATGTGTGTTATATAATTTGAACTCAACAACTATAATAATTAATCTTTAAAACTTTAAAACAAAAAAAAAATTCCATCTTAATCTTTTCTTATATTTCCTAAAACCAAGAAGTTCCTGATTCATTATTATTGCCAGACAAGTAAATGTAAAAGCCACCAACATTCTCTCTAAATTATGGTATTGGGAAGACAATATTTAAAAGAATTTGCGAAACCTTAATAATTTTTTTTATGGCAATAACCATATCAGTGTTATGCAATCAACTCTCACACATGTGTAACAAAATGAGGCCTCAAATAAAATTTTCTTTTTTAAAAAAAAAAAAAACATTATTTTTCAGTGAGAACCGACATGTCTATATACTTTTTTCAGATACACTAAACTGAAAACCCTTTTTTTAACAAAAACCGAGTTGGCTTTGCAGCTTTAACTGGACCGGTGCCCATGCCTGCTTTCATTTATGAAGTTCAAAATATAAAAGGCAAAACCATAAGTTAAGCCCCTGAACTAACCCCAGAATCACTATTAAGCCCCTGGACTTTAATTGATGCAGTAAGCCCTTAAACTCTGGGATCAAAGCAATTAAGCCCTTCTTCTTATGCGATTAAGCCCCCAGAGGCCCAGACTTTAATTTTTAAAATAAATTGCTTAAGAAGAAGGGTTTAATTGCTTTGATCCCAGAGTTCAAGGGCTTAACTGCATCAATTAAAGTTAGGGGCTTCCTAGCGATTCTGGGGTTAGTTCAGGGGCTTAACTTATGGTTTTGCCAATATAAAAACCATCTTACTTGTGTCTTGTAGCTAGCACTTGCGATCTCTATCTGATCTGCCATCATGGATTGGTCATGGTTGATTTTTTTTGGGAGTGCGTTATGGCCACATAAGTATTGGGTCATTCACCTTTAATAAAATATTATAAAATTTAATAAAATAAAAAAAAATATCAACATCCTAAGTAATTAATCTCTTTTTGTTAATAATAAAAAATTTTAAATTTGATTTGAATGATATATAAGTAAAATAAAATAAAAAAAAATAATTACTTTTTAGTATATAATTAAAATCAAAAAATAAAATAATTAATCATTCGAAAAGTTATAAATAGATATATACATATTTTTTTTTACACCAACGAGTGGTCTTGACTCTGGAGATCCGAGTCCTTGATAAATTCTGCAATGGACTGGTGGGGCGCACTGGGGGCAGAGGTGGTTCCCACGACATATAATATCATTTTCTATCTCTAAATGGGCAGCTCAGCTTGGAGCCACCGGTGGCCGGGAGGGCCTGTACTTGATGATTAATCTACCACAGACTCAATTTTCCCCTCGTGTTTTTTATTCATTTTTCCTGCTTCAGTGCTGTATGCACCGCCACTTCCAGCAAAGTTATATGTCTCTCTGCT